AGATCGTGGTCTGACCAGGGCGAGGAGGGGATAGATATCCGCCTGACCAAGGGAAGCTGTTGGACATGCATAAATACGTGGTCAATTCTACAAAAACTGTCATGGGGATTTGAGTAGAACGTAAAGTCACGCTCAGTTGGGTGAAGTTCCCTCCAAACGTCTGCCAGCCCCACTGACTGCAAGAGAGAGTGCATACGCTACTCTAGCACTAAGTTGTGAGAAGGGTCGCCCCCGGGCATAGCGCCTATCTAAGGTGGGGTTTGCTATATTCCACTTTTTTTTTTTTTTTTTTTTAAGCCAGTGTGCATGGACTCTTCAAGGTAGCTTGAACTGTGGCTTGTTGTCGGTCGTCATGTTGTATTATGTTATATTTGCTGTGTAGGTACATCTGTGTGGTGAATCTGAGGTGGCGTAAGCATTTGCAGCTAGGTGAGTTCAGCTTGTTTTTCCAGTTCTACTGGGATGAGACAATCTGAATTGTAACTTTCTCCCATTTCTTTTTCAAGGACTTTCAACCTTGTCGGGGCATCTGCTTCTTCCTTTTCCATTTGGAGGATCTGTATTTGAACTTTCATTTGAGCTTGTATCTCTGCCTCTTTTCTAGAAAAGGATTTTCGAACTTTAGTTTCTTCTACACTTGCTCTATAGACTTGTTGCTTAATGTTAGTTTTCTGGAGCAAGAGGATCTAGAAGATTGTGCTGTGAACCTAGCTGATGCGGATCTGTAAGATCTGGTCTCTTGCAGATGAACAACACGGAGTTCTGCCTTTTCCTTAACACCTTGCATTAGGTGACCTTTTTATTGGTTCAAGATTTCAGGATTAGTTCTTAGTTCTTCTATACTAGTTTCCCTTAAGAAGGCTGTACTGTATATTTTGCACACAACTGTTTGATAACGTTGATAACGTTACATGCAGTGCAAAGTTCTGTTCTGAAGCTCTGAAATATTGCTGGAGAACTCATCTCTAGTAGTTTTATAGTTTTCGGAGAGCTGGTTTCATGGTGTGTTTGGGTTTTGCACTCTTCTCTGCAGTATTTGTAGAATCTGCTCCTTGTATAGCGCTTCGGTCAAAGTCATGATGTACTGCCTTTGATTCAGAAATAGAAGGATGCACAGAGCTTTACACAGGTAAACAGTGAGGACTTCTCTACCACTTTAATGTGGTATCTACAGATAAGCCTAAAATAAGGTACAGTAAATATCTATCTACCTAAACATGCACCGTGTAGGAGATATTTACTATAGTAGCAGCCGGTGACATCAGCGTTGCATGCGCACTGCGTTCTCAATGGGTGGCATGCCATCCATTGAGAGAGCCGTGCCATGGCTGTGACTTCCGCGCGCATGCACAGTGTTACATTATCGCGGCTCAGCCAGTCAAACATCTGAAGACCAGGTGAAGATGAAAGCCCTGTCAGCCGTAATCGCGCACTGCTGGAGGGCTTCGCTCTGAGGTCTGTCTTTCATAATGTGCTAGTATGCAATGCATACTAGCACATTATGCTATTATCCTGCAATGCATACTAGCACATTATGCTATTATCCTGCAGGGGACCATTTTTGTGGATTCTTTTTTTTTTTTTTTTGTCGTTTTCTGCCACTTTAACCTTTTACCAACCTCACTATAGCCGAATGATGGCTACAGCATGGTTGTCCAGTTCTGGGAGGTCGTCATATGACGTCCTCCCAGAACGTGCCCTCCCCCGTGCACCCAGAGATCTCTGTGTCCTACCGACCTAGCTGATCACATGATGAGGTAAAAGACCAATCACAGCGGTCTTTTACCACGTGATCAGCTGTGTACAATGACACAGCAGATCACAGAGTAAATACAGTTGCCGGTTATTGGCGGCACTTTTCTCACGCTGTCACAGGAAAGTACTGCTGATAACCGGCAATTGTCATAGAACAGAGCAGCACCACCCAGCAGTGCCACCCACCAGTACACATCAGTGCCTCCGACCAGTGCCCAACAGTGCCACCCGTCAGTGCTGCCTATCAGTGACCATCATTGCTGCATATCTGTTCCACCTCCTCAGTGCAGCCTATCATTGCAGCCTCATCAACGCACATCAGTGAAAGTGAAAAAATTACCTGTTTGCAAAATTGTAATAGAAACACAGAAAAACTTTTGGTTTTTTTTTTTTTTAATTTTTGTGCTCTTTTTTGTTTATAGTGCAAGAAATAAAACACCCAGTGGCGATGAAATACCACCAAAAAAATCTCTATTTGTCTGAAAAAAAATTGCATGTGGGTACAGTGTCGCATGACCATGCAATTGTTGTTCAAAGTGTGACAGCACTGAAAGCTGAAAATTGGCCTGGTCACGAAGGGGGTAAAAGTGCCCAGTAGGCGAAATAGCTCAAGCTCTGTCAAATTGGATGGAAATCACCATTCTAAAGCCTGGTACGCTTACAGTCAGGTCCATAAATATTGGGACATTGACACAATTCTAACATTTTTGGCTCTATACAGCACCACAATGGATTTGAAATGAAATGAACAAGATGTGCTTTAACTGCAGACTGTCAGCTTTAATTTGAGGGTATTTACATCCAAATCAGGTGAACGCTGCAGGAATTACAACAGTTTACATATGTGCCTCCCACTTGTTAAGAAACCAAAAGTAATGGGACAGAATAATAATCATAAACCAAACTTTCACTTTTTAATACTTTGTTGCAAATTCTTTGCACTCAATTACAGCCTGAAGTCTGGAACGTATAGACATCACCAGACGCTGGGTTTCATCCCTGGTGATGCTCTGCCAGGCCTCTACTGCAACTGTCTTCAGTTCCTGCTTGTTCTTGGGGCATTTTCCCTTCAGTTTTGTCTTCAGCAAGTGAAATGCATGCTCAATCGGATTCAGGTCAGGTGATTGACTTGGCCATTGCATAACATTCCACTTCTTTCCCTTAAAAAACTCTTTGGTTGCTTTTGCAGTATGTTTTGGGTCATTGTCCATCTGCACTGTGAAGCGGCGTCCAATGAGTTCTGAAGCATTTGGCTGAATATGAGCAGATAATATTGCCCAAAACGCTTCAGAATTCATCCTGCTGCTTTTGTCAGCAGTCACATCATCAATAAATACAAGAGAACCAGTTCCATTGGCATCCATACATGCCCACACCATGACACTACCACCACCATGCTTCACTGATGAGGTGGTATGCTTAGGATTATGAGCAGTTCCTTTCCTTTTCCATACTCTTCTCTTCCCATCACTCTGATACAAGTTGATCTTGGTCTCATCTGTCCATAGGATGTTGTTCCAGAACTGTGAAGGTTTTTTTTTAGATGTCGTTTGGCAAACTCTAATCTGGCCTTCCTGTTTTTGAGGCTCACCAATGGTTTACATCCTGTAGTGAACCCTCTGTATTCACTCTGGTGAAGTCTTCTCTTGATTGTTGACTTTGACACACATACACCTACCTCCTGGGGAGTGTACTTGATCTGGCCAACTGTTGTGAAGGGTGTTTTCTTCACCAAGAAAAGAATTCTTCGCTCATCCACCACAGTTGTTTTCCGTGGTCTTCTGGGTCTTTTGGTGTTGCTGAGCTCACCGGTGCGTTCCTTCTTTTTAAGAATGTTCCAAACAGTTGTTTTGGCCACGCCTAATGTTTTTGCTATCTCTCTGATGGGTTTGTTTTGTTTTTTCAGCATAATGATGGCTTGCTTCACTGATAGTGACAGCTCTTTGGACCTCATCTTGAGAGTTGACAGCAACAGATTCCAAATGCAAATAGCACACTTGAAATGAACTCTGGACCTTTTATCTGCTCTTTGTAATTGGGATAATGAGGGAATAACACACACCTGGCCATGGAACAGCTGAGAAGCCAATTGTCCCATTACTTCTGGTCCCTTAACAAGTGGGAGGCACATATGCAAACTGTTGTAATTCCTACACCGTTCACCTGATTTGGATGTAAATACCCTCAAATTAAAGCTGACAGTCTGCAGTTAAAGCACATCTTGTTTGTTTCATTTCAAATCCATTGTGGTGGTGTATAGAGCCAAAAATGTTAGAATTGTGTCGATGTCCCAATATTTATGGACCTGACTGTATGTATTTATTTTTTCGTTCAGCCCAGCAGGTTTAATGTGATCATTCGTTTTTAGCATCAAAATCTTGGTGTGGTAATGTTGATTGTTATTCTTGGATGGCTCTTGTACTCATTAAACTAAATGATGACCTATAGGGATTAAAGTCCTTAGCACTAAACATTATGTTAGAGTTGGAATTAAAGTGAAAGTTTGAGTTTTGGGGTTTTTGGATAGAGTGACAAAGGACTTCTAAGTTCTAACCATAGGGCTTGTTCACACCAGATATGCTGATACTGCCCTGGGCAGCTTTTCCCAGCGCAGTCCAGTGCTTAAGGTGGTTGTAAACCTCAGACATAAAGTAAAAAAAAGCATATCCTGCTATAGTGCGTACTTGTCTCAATCCAGAGCAATAAGCATAATTTCCGTCCTCACCCCTCTGCTATCAGCATGAGTGACTTCTGACAGGTTTTCTTGACACTGTGATTTACAGCCTCAACTGTTCCTGTGTGCTGTGTGAAGGGGAGTGTGCCCCTTCCCTTCAGTTAGGTCACAGCTCTCCTCACTGAGATCTGCAGAAAGTAGTTTCAGCTCCATGCCCCCTTCTTTTGGAAAGCTTAGACAAGCTGTATAAATTCTACACTTTGAACGGTTGTAGAGAAGAGAATACCCAGATAAACAGGTACAGCTTGTGTAGAAGGATTTGTTTAATCTCTCTGTTTCATCTGAGAGTAGTTACTGGTTATATATAAGGGTTTGCAACCACTTTCAGCAAGGCAAATTGCCTTGTTTTCTATTTTATCAATTAACTCCACCGCATTGCCTTGGTGTACGCTGCAAAAACTGCATGTAGTACAATTTTCAAAGTCATGCAGTATTTGACTAAAATATTTCCAAAAATATATGTTTTGAGTTTTCATTTAAGCTGATTTCTTTTCTGACCCTATTCCTAAAGGCAGTGACTTCTCTTTGGACCTCACAGAAGAAAGTGAATTCAAGCCAAGACAGCTTGTTCCAACACTCTATGTTGTACCACGTACCAAGAAGGTTGTGTTTGAAAAGTCAAGGATGTCATGCCAGGAAGCTTTTGAACATTTTGCAACAGAAAAAAATAAGTGGAACCCAGCAGAACGAAAAGGACAGACTTCTCTTGATAGTCCAAAGAAACTTGGAGTACCTAAGGTTTGCTATAATGCACATCGTTTTTTTGTCATGCTTTATAAAACTGTCAGTTAGAACTAGTTAAAAGTATGTCAGAACTGACTGTGAGTATAATATATAAAAGTAAAAATAAATACAAAGTGCCATTACAAAAAGTTTTGGACCAATTGGGATTCGTTTGTTTTTTGTTTTTTTTCAGACTTACACACCACTGCATATGAGATATATTAACTGTAGATCATCCTGCATAGTGCAAGCATATCAGCATATAAAGCTCCATGTACACTAGCATTTTTTAAGCTCCTAGAAGCATTTTTTTTTCTGCTCCTTGAAACTAATAATGTTATCCTGGGTGGCTGTTCAGCTCAAATTAAAGTGGAGCTCCACCCAAAAGGGAAAGTTTCGCTTTAAAGACTGGTCTCCCGCTCCCCATTAAGAATTGGCACCTTTGGGGAGTGGGGGGGGCGGGGGGTAGCGGGTACCCGAATTTGACAGGTACCCACTCCCACTGCCGCTTCGATCGCTAGGCGATCGGAAGTGGAAGGTGTCCTCCCTCCCCGTAGTCTTTTGGGACACGTGACAGGTCCCAAAAGTCTACAGGACCATTCAGGAAGCGCAGCACTACTCGCACATGCGCAGTGGGTACCTGGCTGTGCAGCTGCCAGCTGTCTCAGCTGGGTGCCCACACTGAAAATGTCAGCGCCCAGGGAGAGAAGAAGACCGGTGAAACGGGCTGCAGGGGACACACAATGCGACCGAGGGACAGGTGCGTGTGTGTGTGTTTTTTTAAAAGTCGGCAGCTACAGTTTTTGTAGCTGCTGACTTTTATCTTTTGACAGCGTGAGTGGAACTCCGCTTTAAGCTGATGCCAGCTTAATTGGGCGCAAGGTCCTTCACACAGCTTTTTGTGCTGTGAGATGCACTTTATTCTTTTGTCTTGTTTTGTCTTCACACAGCTTTTTTGTGCTGCAAGCTGCACTTAAAATTGTTTTATTCTGTTGTCTTGTTGTTGGATGTCCCAACTATATCAGAATAACTACTTATCCTGTGACTCGTATTACAATATACTGTCCGTAAAATAAATTTCATGAAGTTGATAAAGGGGCATAGGTCCCCCCTCTGTATTTTGTGACCTACTCCCAAGTACTGCTTTTCTACAAAATGGAAGTATGCTGGGGGCAGGAGGGGCTGGCCAGTGGCTTTTTTGTTAGCCAGTGTCCAATTTCTCCTGATGGCAGAAGTGTTACCCATTGTATCAGATCAACTACAGATCCCAATCCGTGTACTTCAAGAAAGTTATTTTACTTGAAATACATTAGTCCCGTTTTTAGGTTTTTCACTTGCTTTGCATGATTTCTCAGAGATAGTTATTAAATAATACAAGCTTCCCCACTTTCCGCATTAACACAAGCTATACAAAAAGATTTCAACCAACCCAATTAATAACTAGCTTTTGCATGAAAGGGTTTGGCACATTGCTCCTAGCACATTTAGCAGCTAGCATTAAAAAAAAAAACCAAATTGACCCTGTCTAACCATTCGTGTTAAGATGCATACTGTTGCAAATACAGTGCCTTGAAAAGTGGCTCCATACCACTTGAAATTTTCCACATATTGTCATGTTACAACCAAAAACATAAATGTATTTTATTGGGATTTTATGTGATAGACCAACACAAAGTGGCACATAATTGTGAAGTGGAAGGAAAACTATATTTGAGAGTCTCCAAGTTGGAGCATATACAGTATAGCAGTAGATAAAAATTAAGAGAGCGCTTACTTGGAGAGAGGCCACTCCTCCTTAAAGGCACAGCCACATATTAGACACCCAGCAAGGGCAGAGTGTCAGCTGAAGGCATCCAATGTGTCCCCACGTCAAATCCAGCAAACAAACTATTTAAAAAGATGGTAGCCACCCCAATTTATAACTAGTCTTTGTTTGGATAATGTTGAAGCTGCAGTGCCTCACAAAGGCTCCTTTGTATACTGCAGTGATAACTGTATTTTAGAATCTCCAAGTTGAAGCATACATTACCATATTGGAACACTGTTTTTGTATTCCAAATAACAAGCTACTGTATGTCATGTGACAACTTATAGGAAAAACTTGTTTTTCAGCATACTGTCCTTTTCTCTAAAATGGAGATTAAAAAGAGCAGACGCCATCCGCTAGGCAGGCCACCATCCCGCTCCCCTATGTCTGTGGTGAAGCAAGAAGTATCCAGTGATGATGGTGAGTGTTGTTTCCCAAAATAAATTTCCATTTTAATCTGCTTCTGATCATTCCACTTCAAATTATTCTCTTTTGCAGCTTCCTGTTTTTGTTAGTACCACAATATGGTTCACATTTTTTTTTTTTTTGCTTTTTCAGCTTTATTAAAAATATTGAGAATATTTCACTTACCAAAGTCATAAGAGTAATTCTGTAGAGCATACTGTAACTTAACTCTCCATCAGGCTAGGTTCACACTAGCTCACTGGCTGGTTGCGGGTGCTGGAATCGTTGTGTTTCTTTTGTGAGACATGGGCACGCATCTCATCCCGCAGTGCAGCTCGACCATGTGATTTCCATGTGGATGATTTTTGGAAAAGGTGCATGCACCTTTTCCTTGCTTGAAATGTAGGCACATCAGCCCATTCAAAAGAACTGCTGTTCTTGCACTTATGTGAAGCAGAAGTCAAAGCACAGCAGATTTGCTAGTAAATGGGATATTACCTGAATCATGTACATCGGATGCAGTGACCTGGGCAAATAATGGTCAATCTATACAGATAAGTTAGGAAATAAGTATTTGATCCCCTTCTGATTTTTAATGTTTGCCCACTCACAAAGAAATGATCAGTCTAAAAATTGAATGGTAGTTGTATTGTAATACTGAGAGACAGAATAGCAACAAAAAATAAAAAAAAAAAATGCATGTCTAACAAATTATGCACTGATTTGCATATTCATGAGGGAAATAAGTATTTGATCCCCTATCACTCAGCAGGATTTCTGGCTACCAGGTGTCTTTCATACAGGTAACAAGCTGAGATTAGAAGCAGTCTCTTAAAGAGAGTGCTGCTAATCTCATTTTGTTACCTGTATAAAAGACACCTGCCCACAGAAGCAATCAAACAATCAGATTCCAAACTCTCCACCATGGCAAAGACCAAAGAGCTGTCCAAGGATGTCAGGGACAAGATTCTAGACCTACACAAGGCTGGACTGGGCTACCAAAGCAGCTTGGTGAGAAGGCGACAACAGTTGGTGCAATCATTCGCAAATGGAAGAAACACAAAACAACTGTCAGTCTCCCTAGGTGTGCTGCATCATGCAAGATCTCACCTCGTGGAGTGTCAATGATCGTGAGAACAGTTAGGAATCATCCCAGAACTACACGTGAGGATCTTGTCAATGTTCTCCAGGCAGCTGGGACCACAGTCACCAAGAAAACAATTGGTAACACACTATGCTGACAAGGATTGAAATCCTGCAGTGCCCACAAGGTCCCTCTACTCAAAGCACATGTCCAAGCCTGTCTGAAGTTTGGGACTGAACATCTGAATGAGGTTCTGGTTAAAAGTGTTGTGGTCAGATGAGACCAAAATCGAGCTCATTGGCATCAACTCAACTCGTCATGTTTGGAGGAGGAGGAATGCTGCCTATGACCCCAAGAACACCATCCCAACTGTCAAACGTGGTGGAAACATTCTGCTTTGGGAGTGTTTTTCTGCTAAGGGGACAGGACAACTGCACCACATCAAAGGGATGAAGGACGGGGCAATTTACCATCAAATCTTGGGTGAGAACCTTCTTCCCTCAGCCAGGGCATTGAACATGGGTTGTGGATGGGTGTTCCAGCATGACAATGACCCAAAACACACGGCCAAGGCAACAAAGGAGTGGCTCAAGAAGAAGCACGTTAAGGTCCTGCAGTGGCCTAGCCAATCTCCAGACCTTAATCCGATTGAAAATCTCTGGAGGGAGCTGAAAGTTTGAGTTGCCAAACATCAGCCACCAAACCTGAATAACTTTGAGAGGATCTGCCAAGAGGAGTGGGCCAAAATCCCTCCTGAGATGTGTGCAAACCTGGTGGCCAACTACAGGAAACGTCTGACCTCTGTGATTGCCAACAAGGGATTTGCCACCAAGTACTAAGTCATGTTTTGTGAAGAGGATCAAATACTTATTTCCCTCATGAACATGGAAATCAGTGCACAATTTGTTAGACATGCATTTCATTAGCATTTTTTGTTCCTATTCTGTCTCTCAGTGTTACAATACACCTGCCATTTGATTTTTAGACTGATCATTTCTTTGTGAGTGGGCAAACATTCGAAATCAGCAGGGATCAAATTATTATTATTATTATACAGTATTTATAAAGCGCCAATGGTTCGCTCAGCGCTGTACATTACAAAGGGGGACAGAACATGTGACAGAACAATACCAATACAATGCAAAACATGAGGGGATCGAGGGCCCTGCTCTTTCGAGCTTACAATCTAGGAATCAAATACTTATTTCCTTCACTGTAGTAGGGTGATAATGCAGCAGCAGGTAAACAGGATATCCATAATCAGATTTAGTTCACCAGCTTCTAGTGCACCTCGATAAGTAGTCTCAAATCATATTTTTAGGACTACACTAGGTTATAAAAAAATGGATTATGGGTATGTAGAGCTTAAAAGCTCAAGCAGACCAGGAAACGTAGTAGTCCAATTAGGTCACATTTTTTCAAATGTTTTCAATGTGATCTGGTGTGTGTACACCGAATTTCTCAATCTTAAACTTTAGAATGATGTGATAGAGCCATTCCACAATAAATACATGCATCCACTTACATCAGGGATCACTTCATGTAGTATCCAGGGGGCTGTGTGCTGTTTGAGGACCAGTTCACACTACAAAAATGCACTTCGGGTGCATTCTGGATACATTTTTGCTTACAGTTCACACCACACGCAGTTCCGGTGCAGTTTTGATGCAGTTTTCCATGTTACAGTATGATTATGTGCAGAACAAATGCAACATATTCTACTTTTTTCTCTGCATCGGAAACTGACTGGAACTGACTGCACTAGTGTGAACTAGGGCCATTGGAATACATGTAAAACACTGTGCATGCATTTGTGATGCAGAAAAAAAGCACACTGAACTGCATCTAGTGTGAACTAGCCCCGAAGCATTCTCTTAATGTGGGTGGATGCTTTTATTTCTATTAATTGAAGTCCCTTGCTTCCTTATCAGCTATAGAGAGGCTGTCCTCATACCATACTAGTATCAGTGCATGTCGAGTTTTACTTGCTGCAGACCAGACCAGGACTAATAACTATATTCATCCTGGGACTTTGTTTACGTAATCTATATCCTGTTATAATATTCGTGCTGACATTTTTTGTGCTTTTATCATTGTGTTTTTGTTTTATTTCCAAAACTAGACTCTATTGGTCTTTAAGTCAGCATTTCATTCTGGTGAACAATTTTTGATACAGTTTGTACATGACGCCTGGGAGCAATTATTTGTTCTTCATCTCAAACCATATTAAGATTAATACTAATGTTCATAAAAAAAGAACACCTGGTTATCATTTATTTGTTCATTATTTTATTTAACTGGTTCACTTCTTTGGATGTGTCTGGTATATGGATAGAGTGAACAGGTTAATACAAGCCAACAGCTGCAGTATCAGCTGTGAGCTTGTTTTAATATTTCTTCTCAAGCTCCTGGCTTTAATATAAAAGAGATGTCGTCGGCTGTGGAGCCACCTGATCACTTTTACTTGAATGGTAAGTGCTATCCCTGCCACCTGGCTCTCCCACTACTCCTGGTCGTCTGTGACCCCAACAGCTACCATCTACCATCCCCAATCTCCTCTGCAGTAATGTGAAAGTGCTTAGCTATGAGCACTTCTGGTTCAGAGCTGTCAAAATCTTGGATGGAAAGTGGGATTCACAGCTTATTGAGCACACTCCAGTGCTCTGCCAGCTGGAGCAGAGTGCAGGGGAGACATTGGGGGTCAATACTATCACAAAGGGGGCTTGTTAGCCACAATGTGATCGCAATAAAGTTTAAATGAAAAAATAAAAGTAAAAAAATGTAAATAATTTTTAATAAAAGCAACTCCATTGCCCTGCACATACCCGAAAATGTGTGTGCATTTGTATGTAATTGCATTGTCACCTTGAAAGTGTCTCCTATTGATCATTTTGGATGCTGTAATTTTTCACCATTTAACGTGTGCACACAGTTTGGAGGCCTGACACATTTGGTATCTAGTTACTCTATGCACTTCATCTTTTATATTGTACACAAAAGTGGGAATTAAATTGTGTTTGTATGCGCTAAAATTCATTTTTTACTGTATTTTTTCTTGAAAATATCCTTCAACATAAAAATTTGCAAATACCATCTTTTTATTTTACAAGACTGCTTTCAAAAAATGTATAATATTTTGGGTGTTTTAAGTAATTTCTTAGCCAAAAAAAAAGCAAATTTTAACTTTTGTGTGGAAAAAAAAATTGCTCTACGTTCAACAGAAGCAGTTATACTGGCCTCCATTGAACAGACAGCGGTGCACATATACAAAAATTTCAGTATGTGTGTACTGGGCTTTAGATTGAAAGGAAATATTTCATCAAAGAACACAAAGCAGAAATGGGAATGTTTCAAATCGACTGTATGCAAACATCAAATCATCAAAAAAAAATTATTTATTTTAATAATTAAATTCAAAAAGTTAAACTCATATATTATACAGATGTAGATATATTTCAACCATTTCTTTCTTTTTAATTTTGATGATTATGGCTTACAGCTAGTGAAAACCCAATATTCAGCGTCTCAGAAAATTAGAATATTGTGAAAAAGTTCAATATTGTAGACTCATGGTGTCGCACTCTAATCTGCTAATTAACTCAAAACACCTGTAAAGGTTTCCTGATCCTTTAAATGGTCTCTCAGTCTGATTCAGTAGGTTACACAATCATGGTGCCGACTTGACAGTTATCCAGAGGACAGTCATTGACACCCTCCACAAGGTGTCAATCAGTGCCACCTAACAGTTCAAGTCAGTGCCATGTATTAGTGCCAGTCAGTGCCCGCCTATCCGTGCCATATATGAATGCTGCCTTTCAGTGCCCATCAGTGATGCCTGTCCATGCCCATCAGTGCCGCCTATCAGTGCACATCACTGCAGCATCATTTAGTGCACATCAGTGAAGGAGAAAAATTATTTATTGACAAAATT